CAGAATGGAAGGAAGGAGCTGCATACTTCACAGGACCTCTGACATTCTTGATGGTAATTATATTGTTTCAGAATCTTAATAAACTGTTTCACTGAGTAATTACAATGTAACTAAAATAATCCTTACTGTTACACTGTTAATTTGAGTACTTGCTTTAGTATTAGCTGTTTCATATTTTATGTAAGTTGTTTCATGTTAAATATATAATGTTTCATATAATAAATATGCAGTTTCATATTAAACGTCTGTTGTTACATATTCATATTTAAAATCAACTGTTTCATATTGTTTATTTGTTGTTACATATGTTAAACCAACTGGTAGTATTTGTACTTTGATATCTTTGTCAAAGTACATAACCTGTTTAAAATATGAAACAATTGGCATATAAATCAAACAACATATATATACTTGATGTTTCATTGTTATTTATGCGGTTTCACATTATATGTCATTTGTTCCATTACATATTACTGTTGTTTCATATAGTACATTATATATAATTTATAGTCCATTATCCAAATAATAATACGAACAAAACATTTGATATCACATGTACGTTGTTTCATTTTATATGCCTACTGTATAGTAAATCTGATGTTTCATATTGGACGCCTGCTATTTCATGTAATAAATCTTTCATCTCATTAATTGTTGTTTCATTTTGAATATATGTTGTTACATATTTTACCGATGGTGTTTCATTTTATTGTAAAACAGAACATACATTTGAAATCACATTTATTATAAAATGAAACACCATCTGTTAAATATGTAACAACATATATTCAAAATATGTGATATCAAATGTATGTTCTGTTTCACAATATATTTAAGATGTATGTTGTTTCATTTTATATGCCTGTTGTTTCAAAATTTAAACCAACAGTTTTCCATACCGGCTTAAACAGGTTATGTACTTTGATAGACTGAAGCGTGGCACAGCTCAACCACGAAGGACAATACCCCTAATATCCGTTTGGAACAAGCAGATGATACAAGAACGAATGAAGGTCGAGATGAAGAGAGGATTTGGACAAGGTAAAGTCCTCGACAGGTTAACTGCCATAAACACGAATTCTGGTGAAGAAAATCAAGGGCCTTCGTCGTCCTCTGCTCCTGAAGATGTTAAGGTAAAAAAAAAAAAAAAAAAAAAAAAAAAAAAAAAAAAAAAGAAGCATAACAATTAATATACCTGATGTTTCATTGTTTCATATTAAATATTATTTGTTTCATTACATATTACTGTTGTTTCAAAATAATGTATATGATTTAGATGTATGTTGTTTCATTTTATATGCCTATTGTTTCATTTTATATACCTATTGCTTCGTATAATAAATTTGATGTTTCATATTGAATGCCTGCTGTTTCATGTAATAAATCTCACTTCTCATTAATTGTTGTTTCATGTTGAATATATGCTGTTACATATTTAAAATATGTGATTTCAGATGTATATTGTTTCATAATATATTTCAGCTGTTTCAATTTAGGTGTACACTGTTTCACAATAAATTTCAGATGTATGTTGTTTCATTTTATATGCCTATTGTTTCCGTGTTCATGACATTATTGTTTCGTAATATATTTCGGCTGTTTCATGTTTTGTGTACGCTGTTTCATATAATAAATCTGATGCTTCATATTGGCTACATGTTGTTTCATATTTTATATCACGTGTTTCATTGTTTATAATACTGGAATTTGAAACGTTGTTGGTTTGTTATAGGGATTTATACTTGATGAATTCAACAACATTTCCAAGGAAATTGTTGGCCATGTCCAGTCAATGTATGCACTGATTGACAAGGCATACAAATTGATTGAGGAGGTGGAGATCCCAGATGAGATGAAGGAGCTCATTAGAAATCTATGGGGCAAGTACACATCAGTACAGCCCACTATGAGTCAACAAGGAATCAAGACCCCGGGTTTTCTATCTCAAGATGAGAACTTATTTCATGAGCCAGCGTTTTTATCTAAGCTCAGTGATGTGATGAACAAAGCATGGGCAAAATTTCAGGCCAAAGACAAACAACAAGATGAACCCCCCCTGAGAATGTTGTAACCCCACAAGCTACACCCCACAATGAATCCGTTCAAGACATTGTTCCATTATCTGAATCCCAGCCAAACTATAATCTGTTTGTAGGTTCACAGGAGTTGCCTCCAACACCCCCAGCAAAAGGAAAGTCACCAGAGCAGGAAGAATCTCCAACGGATCAGCAGTTGGAGTCACTCACTGAATCCATCGTTCATAAGATAACGATGGAACATTGTGAGGAGCTAGTGACTGGTATGCAAAGAGAAAAAAGACTCACACAAAATCTTCTTGTGCACCTTCGATCCCCATTCATGGTGCAGAATGAAAAAATTTCAGCAAAATTGATGCCCTACAAAGAACAGCCGCCGAATATGCCTTTTGTGCAGGCCCAAAATCGTGAGAATTTTCTGGAATGCTTTGTTTCATATTATATACATATTGTTTCATAGTATATACAATATTATATTGTTTCATATTATATACATATTGTTTCATTAAATTGTTTTGCTGTCCCATCAATTTCAGTGAGCAGCTGTACAATGATGGGCTTAACTTCATCAGTAGGGAAGACATTTTAGGACTACAAGGTGACAACTATGTGGTCAACAATATAATAGACTCCTGGGGCCACATCCTTAACATGGCAAACAAAAGAAGGCAACCAGGCGATATCAACCGTTTTTTCTACACCTCTGAATGTTGGGTAATTATGTCTAAAATTATTTAACTGCTTCACTTTTAAGCTCTAATGTTTCATTTATCATATAATTTGGTTCATTAACATATTCCATTGTTTCAATTGACAATAAATGTTCCACTATATAGTGCCAATGTTTCATTTTTAATATATTATGCTCCGTATAAAATATTTCAGTTTCATAATATTGATACACTAACAATTATAATATTTCTGATACACTAACAACTTTAACAATGATTAATTACCTGGAAAAAAACAGAATATGCTGTGCGGTAACAAGTACTTTACGCCAAATACCAAGTTTGCAGAGAGATACAATTGTTTCAAGAGCAGGATGGTGGACGAGATGAAGCATTCTAAAATAACTACTTTTGACAAAGTAGATTTGGTTAGATACTAAACTAATACTGATTCTTAGCATATATATTTGCTCAATAAGACATACTTAATGTTACATATAACTTACTTATTGTTTCATTATAGGTTTTCTTTCTCGTCCCAGCATTTGAACAATATTATCCGTTCTGTTTCAATTTTTCACTCAAGCAACTGCAAATTATAGACAACAGATTTCTAGAAGAAGGTGTTGAAAGGGATGCAAAGTACAGCAATTTTCCAGCTACCATGGTAAAAATATAACACTGTTTCACTAAACATCACTGGTATTCCATTTTTATTTTTTGTTGTTTCAATTAGTATATCTGGTGTTTCATTGTTGATTTCTGATGTTTCTTATTATATAGAATTTGTTTCAATATATGTATATATGGTTTCAAATAATACATTTGATGTTCCATTTTTTCATTACTGCTGATTCATATTAAATAAAATATGTTTCATTGTACATATAATATGTTATTTCATATTCATACATCTGATGTTTCATTTTTCATTTACGCTGTTTCATATTATATATCAATTGTTTCATTGTATATATATTTGTTGTTTCATTGTTCCTTGGTACATCTAATTGTTTCATATTATACAGATCAAGGCATTTGCTAAATTTCTAAATGAAAAGAAAGTTGGGAATGGACGGGCAGTGTCTAGATTCAATACCACTATGAAGGAAATGAGATGGAAAAATAATGACAATTATAATGACTGCGGTGTATACGCTCTCAAACACATGGAAACTTACAAGGGGCAGCTAGATGAATGTTGGGATATTGGATTCGACCCAAAAGATGTAAGTTTTTGTGTAATTCTTATATTAATTTATACATAATTTATGGTTCATTGTTCCGGTATTTATTTTGAATTGTTAATATATTTCAGCCTGATGTAATGAAGAAGCTGAGGATTGAGTATTGTGGGAAAATATTGACAAGCCCTGCAAACGTACTACAAGATGAAATTATAGCCAAATCAAAGACCTGGGCATTAGAGCTGCTTTGTCATGTTAATCAGTAAACAATGTTTATGAATGTTTCCACATTAGTTGTAAGATACATAATTTTTATGCATGTTCTGGATAATTTAGCTAAACATCTTATGTTTCGTCTAATGATTTTCTATTAATATCTGAACAGTTCCTTCTTCGTACGTAAAGATGTGCATACATTATTGTCAATTGTGAACTATTAATATGAAACATTAGAAGTATTAAATGAAACTATAAATATATAAAATGAAACAACATTTAGGTAATATGAAACAATGTCATTATAGGTTTAGCTAAACATGTTCTGGATCATTTTCCCATAATTAGAACTATTAAATAAAACTATAAATATATAAAATGAAACAACGGTTAGGTAATATGAAACAATGTCACAACATGCATTGTCAACGGTAAGAAATAAATTTAAACCATGCACTGTCACAACTGAACACGTTTCCACGTGAAACTGACAAGTGTAAGGTTGCTTTTAAACTTTACCATAAATATGTTCCCAAAGCAACAATACCACGCCAGTACTTTTAAAAAAAGATAACTAGTCAAATCAATACACGCTGCCACATAAAATCAATTTGCACACTTTTGTGAAAAATATTATATACTCCGTAACTTTTTTATATAAAACATGCTAAAACGAATCTTAATATTTCAGATAATGTTCCTACTGTTCCCTTAAATGAAACAATTGTTACATATATTAGAACTAATGTTTCTTAAAACTGATGCTTCTCAAAACTGATGTAACATATATTAAAACTGATGTTTCTCAAATGTAACTAATTGTTCCATTACAACAAACATAAAAATGAGTAAAACATTCCCATAAGAAGGAACAACAGCTGCACAAATCATCATGCTTTGTGAGGACAATTCCGAATATCATGATATGCTAACTTGCCACAGCCACTGCATTTCCTCTTCGTTTTCTTTTTAGATTGTTCAACTGCTATTTCTTTGGCACCCTTTAATCTTTTAGACCCACTAGTTTCACAGCCATCATGAACACTTGTACCTTTATTCTTCGACACTTTAGGAGGATGAACAAGTATTTCATCAGGAATGCTACATCCTATTAACATCTCAATATCATGTTCACTAGATCTTACATTCTGAGTATCAACTACAGTAACATTTTTTGTCGCTTCAATTTTATTCTTGAACTCTCGAATATTCTTAATAAAGTCCTCCTCATGACCTTTAACCCAACTCACACAAGAAAATATCTCCAACCACATTTCATTTATAACCACCCGCTTATCGTCTTCGGTGTCTAAACAACTTATATCTAACACTGGTTTCTGAGTAGCAGTTATTGTCCAACGATCTAAGATATATATTGCTTTGGAATGCTTTTTAAATACTTTGCCTTCCACATCCATATCATATGTCTGCATGGGATTTCTATCCTATAAAACTTCTTACAAGAGCAGGTAGTGTCATAACTAAAGCAGTTAAACAAAACTTTAAATTTCCTTCTCCTATTTGCCTCAGTAACAATTGCTACATCAATACCATCTTCCTTCCTCAGTTCATCTACACCACAAGAATAAAAAGCACTATGAACTTCATCTTGAAATTCATAAAATACAGAAACGGTGTACACCTCAGAATCTCAATCAACAATTATGTCTTACATTGAGGGAATTTCTCCTGTGATTCATTGTCATTCTCTGCCTGACTATGTCTCTGTGCATCCAACGCAGTTTCATACCTCATGAAAAATTCCACAAGAGACACGTGAGGATTTACAACGGATGTAAAAAAATTATTCTCACTCTCTGACCTTGAGGTAGTTCTCATAATACAACCCATAAACACATCTCTAAAATACGCTGGAATCCACATAGATCTCATCTCAAACATCAAATTCAACCAATCATGGTCTTGTAATTTAAACTCAACAAGAACATTGTTCCACTTCCCTTCAAATTCAGGTGCCTCAATTTCTAAATTTCAAACACACTTACTGAGTTCCTTCAAAAATTCAGTATCCTGAATGATATTCCTTCCAACTTTATCAGGCAGCTTTTTCATTATGTGCCACATACAAAATCTGAAGGACATTAATTATGGGACATTAGACCACTATTTAGAAACATTAGCTTTTAATACTGTAACATTATAGTAAAATTCCGGAACATCATCTTGAAGATTTGAAATAATAAAATAAATAATTGGAATAACTAGGCGAATTCTCGTAACAATTGATTAACCTAATGGAACATCAAAACATAAATTTGAAACAATAACACACTATTTAGGAATAATATTTTTTTAAAAAAATTCAGAATAATAATATTTAACATCATAACAATAGCTGGAAACATCAATAAACTAATATGAAACATCAGACACATATTTTGAAACAATAGTATTCACAAATGAATCATTATGTGACACATACAAAATCTGAAGGACATTAATTATGGGACATTAGACCACTATTTAGGAACATTAGCTTTTAATACTGTAACATTATAGTAAAATTCCGGAACATTATCTTGAAGATTTGAAATAATAAAATAAATAATTGGAATAACTAGGCGAATTCTCGTAACAATTGATTAACCTAATGGAACATCAAAACATAAATTTGAAACAATAACACACTATTTAGGAACAATATTTTTTTAAAAAAATTCAGAATAATAATATTTAACATCATAACAATAGCTGGAAACATCAATAAACTAATATGAAACATCAGACACATATTTTGAAACAATAGTATTCACAAATGAATCATTATGTGACACATACAAAATCTGAAGGACATTAATTATGGGACATTAGACCACTATTTAGGAACATTAGCTTTTAATACTGTAACATTATAGTAAAATTCCGGAACATTATCATGAAGATTTGAAATAATAAAATATATAATTGGAATAATTAGGCAAATTCTCGTAACAATTGATTGACCTAGTGGAACATCAAAACATAAATTTGAAACAATAAAACACTATTTAGAAACAAGAATTTTTTTTTTTTTTAAATTCAGAATAATAATATTTAACATCATAACAACAGCTGGAAACATCAATAAACTAATATGAAACATCAGACACATATTTTGAAACAATAGTATTCACAAATGAATCATTATGTGACACATACAAAATCTGAAGGACATTAATTATGGGACATTAGACCACTATTTAGGAACATTAGCTTTTAATACTGTAACATTATAGTAAAATTCCGGAACATTATCATGAAGATTTGAAATAATAAAATAAATAATTGGAATAATTAGGCAAATTCTCGTAACAATTGATTAACCTAATGGAACATCAAAACATAAATTTGAAACAATAAAACACTATTTAGGAACAAGATTTTTTTTTTTTTTAAATTCAGAACAATAATATTTAACATCATAACAACAGCTGGAAACATCAATAAACTAATATGAAACATCAGACACATATTTTGAAACAATAGTATTCACAAATGAATCATTATAGTTGCAGTACAATAAAATAAATACCTGTGCTCACATTGCTGGAAAACAGAATTTACAGCAATTTTCATAGCTGGATCTTGATCCGTAATTAAACAATTGGGCTCCCTACTGCCCATTGCCTTAACAAATGTTCTAAATAGCCATTGGAATGAAGCAACATCTTCCTTTACAATAAAACCAACAGCAAAAGTGACACATTTCTTGTGGTGATCGACTCCCGTGAATGGACCAAACACCATATTATATCTGGAAAACATGAAAAATACGCTGAAATTACGATTCCGATATTTATGTCTACTGTTTCGTAATATTTTTCCAATGTTCCGAAAAGTTAAACAAATGTTACATCAAATTGTAACACCAAAAAAAAAATTTCAAAAAACTTTAAAAATAACACTATGATACCTGTTGCTTTGGTAGGTTGTATCAAATGAGAGCATATCACCAAATACGGCATAATTTCTCCGGCAAATAGGATCTGCCCATAAAGCTCTACATAGACAGTCGTCTTCATCCATTTCGTAATAAAAAAAATAAGCCGACCACATTAACTTTTTCCTCTTAAAATTGTCAACAAACATTTGGGCGTCTGATCCTTCAATATACGCCTTTAAATCTCTATGAAAATTTTTGATGTCATTCCTACTAGCACCTATATTCTCATACCCACCAACATATTCCTTCACCATTCTCTATGTCTTGACAGGACCAATATTCACCTGTGGAGCAACAAAAAAAGTATATGAAACAGAATGTAAAAACACTAGACTGTTTGAGGACCATGCTATATATGGAAACAGATCTAACAGTGCATATTTAATTTTATGCAAAAAAAGAGGAAAAAAAGATTTCAATGATTCTAAATATAGATGTGTACAAAAAACAAAAAGGCACACATTTAATTACAAATAACGGTACACGTTATTCTTGATGGATAGTGCGAAATTCGATGATGAAGGAAGTGATATGAAACAAAAATGCACTTTATTGTTCCATATATCTGACCTACTGTTCCTCCACATTACCCTATTGTTACATTTGTTATAATAACTGTTAATATTAAACCTTTACAACCAATCGCTCCAACTATGTTTCAATTATACGTAATTTTGTTCCATTTATCAAAACCATTGTTCCATACAGTTGTACTTACACCAACTTAAGTACATACATTACAAACAATTGTTCCATCCAAAACAATATATATTTCATATTATAGTACTACTGTTTCATATATGTACACAATTGTTACTTCACATTTAAAATTTAATCATTTTAAACAAAACCATATTCAAATACGAATGTTCCATCCAAAACAATATATATTTCATATTACAGTACTAATGTTTCATATATGTACACAATTGTTACTTCACATTTAAAATTTAATCATTTTAAACAAAACCATATTCAAATACGAATGTTCCATCCAAAACAATATATATTTCATATTACAGTACTAATGTTTCATATATTTACACAATTGTTACTTCACATTTAAAAATTTAATCATTTTAAACAAAACCATATTCAAATACCTTTGAATTATCAATTATCATTTTCTTATGAAACATTGTCAGCTTTCTTTTGGACTTCTGAAAATGAGAGTTCTCGGATGAATACATATGATGAGTATGCCCTTCTTCAAAATTAGAAACAATGTAACCTCCATCTTTGCAATACTTTAAATCATCTTTGCCTTACAACCAACTCGAGTAGACAATCTTCTTTTAACCATAGGAGTATTCGCTTCTTGACAATCATAGTCTTCTTTATCTTGACCAACAACCACTTCTTCAACATTCATATCATCTACAAAATTATCATCTTCTTCCCCGATACTATCAACTTTCTCTGTCACCACATTATTTCGTTTTTCTTTAAACCCAGCTTTATTACATACAATAATTTGAAAAGAAATAATACCATTTTTTCTTTTTTTGACCGTCGACTTTCTAATAATAAATCCTACAACAGCTGCGTAGGACTCATAAAAACGCAAACCTTCATCAAGTTTTGAAAATTTCATACCTATAGTTGGTCTAATTTCACTATCACAACATGGAATCCATATCTTCGTTCCACCAGGGGTACAAGCATGAAGAACATTAGACGTACCACATTCAACGGACAAATCCATGCTTAATATAACTACAGAAAAAAAAAATATGAGCTCTAACCTTTGATAATATTTTCAGAAAGAATGTATTCCAATGGCTGAATGTATTCCAATGGCTGAGATAACGTCTTCCAATGACTGACGGAATGTATTCCAATGGAATACAACGTCTTCCAATGCACAAAAATAAAAAAATAAAAAATTACAAACAATCATTACACTTTTCAAGTTGGCCCACGTGAATTCCCACTATTGTTACCAATAAATCTGAACCATTCATCTAATAAAAATGAATGGTCTTAGATTGGTTCTCATTTTAACTTGGTTCTCACCTAAGCTATGGGTTCTCACATGATCCCATTTCTATATATACTACCTCCGCCCACGAATATCTGCAACAAAGTACAATTTTACGGACTCCTAGATAAAACTTTTAGGGGATATTAATTGTAGTTGGGTGGGTTTAATTAAGGAGGAAAATGGAGGGAAGTAAAAGGTCCCACTAGTTTAATTTTATTGGGTGGGTTTAGATAGTGGAATATAGTTGGTGAAAGGGACCACATGAGGCCCTGTTTTTTGATGCATGCGCTGCTTTTAGGAGGGAAATCTACTTCCCTCCTTTTTTTTGTGGAAAATTTTCAAAACACATCCAAATTTCATTCCAAAATTTTGAAAGTCTGCCAATTTTGAAAATTTTGGAAGAAACCAAATTTCATTCCAAAATTTTTCATTTCCCACCAACATACAGCAAATGATTATACTGAACAAAAAAAAAAAATTCACATTCACTTTCTAAAAGTGCCCACTATAAAAGGGCATACTACTGGTTCACATTAAATAAACATAAACATCTTCCACCAATGTTTCTCAAAAGCTTACATCATAAGTTCACAAAATACCCCATGAAATGCAAATGTAAAGGTTAAGATTAAATCTGCCTAAACTACAATTAGAGTTAGGATTACGGAAGCATCGGGGTTTCGCTTCAACAGCACTTCAAAAACAATCAGCAGCCAAAACTTCATCACCAACCTACTCATCTGTGGAAAAAAACAAAAAGGGACCCACAACAAAACATGGAACAACCCTTTGATCAGGATTTTTTTGGAATAGAGCAACTTTTACAGGAGGGTCAGTATGAGGCCAATGCACAAGACAACAACAGTTATGAAGCCAGTCAAGGAAACAACAATGCAGAGGAAGAAGAAGGACATGTACATCCAACAAGTAGAAAGCAACTAACAGTCACAAAAAAACGCCAGCTCATAGATGAGTTCCTCATGAAAATGAATCAGGGAGAACTACCCAGGGGGTTATTATCAGCAGTGGCAAAATAGCATGGGATCCACAGAAGCACAGCAACACGGGTGTGGCAGTTTGTACAAGACAGCATAGCCAAAGGGAATTTTATTGATGTCAGAAGCAAAAAAGTAGGGAAAAAAGGAAGACAACCCAAATTTATTAGTGATGAGGAGTTGCAGTCAGTGCCTCTATACAAAAGGGTAACAGAGAGAAGCTATGCAGCAGCTCTGAAGGTATCACATGGATTCATACACAACTTGAAGAAAAAGGGCAGACTTAGAACACATTCAGCAACCAACCATCCAGCACTCACACCAAATCACAAATTGGCAAGACTCAAGTGGGCATTAGCCCATATTCATCCAATCCCCCAAGTAGGAAATCCAACTTTCATTGATATGCAACAAGTGATTCACATAGATGAGAAATGGTTCTACATGAACCCAGAGACAAGGCAATTCTACTTGTTGCCAAAGGAAGAAAATCCCTACATGTGTCAGCAGTCCAAAAGGTACAAAATAAAAGCTATGTTCATGGCAATGATTGGGAAGCCTCTACATGACTTAAATGGGAACATGCTACATGATGGTAAGTATGGAATATTTCCTTTTACCTACCAGCAATTGGCCAAGAAGAAAAGCAAGAACAGAGATGCAGGGACTCTTGTAACAAAGGCTGTTCAGAGTGTAACCAGAGAAGAAATCAGGAAAATGTTGTTAACCAACATCATCCCAGCAATACACAACCAATGGCACCCTAGTTTGTCTAAGGATGTATTCATCCAGTGGGACAATGCCAGACCACATCAAGTTCCAAAGGATGAAGAGTTTAAGGCAGCCTGTATAGCAAATGGGTTCAACATACAAATGGTTTTCCAACCTGCACAGTCTCCAGATCTTAATGTACTGGATCTTGGATTGTTCAATGTCATACAATCATTGCAATACCAGTCATTTCCAAGAAAGATTGAAGAGCTAATAGAGAAGGTGTATGAGGCCTATGAATGGTTTGATCCAATACTCAACAAGTATACATGGATCACTTTGCAAAGTGTTATGAAAATGATTTTAGAAAAAGAAGGTGGAAACAATTTCAATCCACCTCACATGAAAAAGAAAAGATTGGACAATTTAGGGCAGCTGCCAGAATTTTTAGAAGTTGAGAGGGAACTCATTGAACAAGCAGTTCAACTTCTGAACACAGTTGTTGTTCCTATTCATCAACAACATGAAGAGTACATGGAAACTGAGGTTGATGCAGATTAGGCACTACACAAGGTTTGAAAGACAACATGACTTCCACACCTAACCAAATATGAACTCAGAACAGATTTTTGTGTAAAGTAAGCATATGTTTTTTATTAAACGCTTTTTATGATTTATTTATGTGTATTTTGCTAGGTTTAAATGCATTACTATAGGCAGTCATGTAAGGAAAGATTGTGTGTATTAGTTATGCAATTGAAAGTTTTTATATGCAACTCAATGATTTCCAGATTGAATAGCAAACTATGAATTCCATCAGGGTAACATTTTGTTTTCAGCAGCTTTGTGTAGGTTGTTACCTCAACAACAAGTGTTTTAAGGCACTTGTTGGAGCAAAACAAACCTCACAGCCTACTCAAAGTGAGTCCCTTCATCATTTGGAATTATGTGAAAGACAAGATACATTGTGGGGACTCATTCATTTCACTAGAGGCACTGACTTGCAACAACAACAAGGCAACATGGAAAAGGGACTCCACACATCCAACATAAATCATCATTCATCAAACATCCATTCCCTTGGCCATTACCAATTCACAAACACAATCCAAACCTAAGTAGGGACTCCACCAGAACCCATCAAAAACTAACACACAATGTGACCAGAATCCTTGCACAACATCACAGCACCATAAAAAATCCACCAACAGCCCACATACCATCTCACCAGAATACATGCACAACAAACAAACCAACCACCATAATCCATCAACAACATAGGTGAACAACATAAACCATCAGCATAATCCATCAACAACATCAATTAACAACATAAATCATCAGCATAATTCAACAGCATAATCCATCAACAACAACAATTTACAACATAAATCATCAACATAATCCATCAGCATAATCCATCAACAACATCAGTTAACAGCATAAACCACGCATCCAACATATCAACCATCAACCACAAAAAAAGGACTCACAAATCACAGATCTATTCCCTTAAAGCATACATAAACCCAAAAAATTCAAGAAAATAAAATAAGGGTTCAGT